TTATATCGACATAAATGTTTATTATATATGCTCGACTGTTATTCAAATATGTTGCATATAAATATTACGTAATAGAAATAAATTAATAATTTTCTGACCATTATAAATGATTTAATATTATAAATAAATATCATAGCTAAAATACAATATAATTGTCAATTTTATTGCATGTTAATAGCTATTATATATCCATTTATCTATAATTTCATTCAATTGAACTATTTATTGATTTACATTATCGACAATACAACTGGAGTATAAATGGTATAATTTTCATCGCTTGTAAAATATGTTAATATAAAGCTTGTTATTGTTAATAAAGAGGACGATAGACTTATAGAAAATGAATAAACGTGTTTATTTCTTGAACTGGAAAATTAGTAATAGAAATAGTAGGAAACTTAATCTAAAAACCGAGTCGAAACGAACATACACAATAGTAGGCTTCGGCATCTGCTAAGAGCGCTAATTATACAATGCAATTGGCAGTGCGCGTGGGGATGAAAAAAATTCATACTTCGCGCTTTCAGGAGCTTCGAGCTTTAGATTTAACAATAGTAAAGAATCCCCTCTATTCCTTTATTCCCTTTCGTTTTCTGCTATTAACTTTTCCTATTGATCCTACATTTGCTCTTCTTTCTATGTTTTACTTTGCATTTTATGCTCGCTTTATTTTTTTTCTAGAAAGCAGACTACTGGAAAACTGGTTCACATCAAGGGAAAATTAGCATATTAAACATTATATGAAAATTATTTAAAAAATAAATAAATATAACATTTTGCAGATTATTTAATTACGGGTGCAATATTTAGTAATTGAGAACAATTAATGTCCAATGCATCTCGTAAGTCGTAAATATAAATTAATTTAAGAATATAATAAAGTAATTATAAACTATAATAATAATAATAAAAATAATAATATAGTTTTCTAAATATACATAAGTATATATATATATATATATATATATATTTATAAAGGAATATCAATCAACTGAATTAATAATAATAATATCAGTTGCTGAACAAAGTATCGAAATCTATCGCTTTGAAACTGAATATTTTAATTAATCTTAATTCATCATACAATTTCGTAGATTATAAATAGTGCGTATGTAATAAATAGCATATAGAGAATAAATAATGTGCTTGAAAATTGGTTGAAACACTAAGACGAAGTTGTTGAATCAAAAAATCATTAAGCCACGTGTTTACGTAATTTACTTAAGAATAAATAGTTATGAAAATTGAATTTTACTAGCTATTAAAATAATTAAATCTTAATATCGAATTATATTGAAAATACATTGTCTGTCTTATAAAAGCCTAACACAAAAAAAAAAGTAATATCAAGAAAACAAAATGTCCCATTTCAATTCCATTTTTATTTTCTGTTTCGTACCAGTAATCTTCCCTACTTGCTCATTTGCCTTAATAACCACGGTAAAAGGAGTGTCAGATCCACAATGGACTAGCAAATTCCTGACCCTTGACCGTCAACCCCATAACAGCACAGCATCTACATTTTCACCTTCCTATTCGTTTCTCCCACTGCTTGTACGGTACTCTCACCACTTTCTTTTTTTACAACATTTTTCCCCTTTGTCTCCCTCGAACCAGTCTTGTCCTACTCCTTAATGAATTATTTCCGTCCGGAAGTCTCTCAGAGAATAAACGAAAAAAGCCGGTGGAGAATAAGGGGCGTGGGGTTCAGAGTACGAGGAGAAAGGTAAAAGTGAAAAAGATAGAGAAAGGAAGTCGAGCAGCTCTTCGCTTCGGCACTTAACCGAGTGACTTTCTCTCTCCAATGACCGACTACGCTGCCGGCAAAAGTTCGTCTTTCTGAGCTACACTTGTGGTGAGTTGAGAAAGAGGCAGAAAAATAACGATATTGAGACAAAGAGATTATATGAAATAGGGTGAGAATGAGAAAGAGAGAGGAGACAGGCAGAGAGAGAGAGAGAGAGAGAGAGAGAGAGACAGAATCAATAGCAGATTGACTTGAGGGATTTGAAGTTATGAGCGTTAATTTTAGACCGACGCTTCAGCTAGTCAATTCTAATATTCCATAATTCAAAATTAACTTATAATTTAAATGTTAATTTCATTATAAATAATACTATATATCAATATTGCTAAAAAAAGAAACTATATTTTCTCGGATTAGTTTTATATACAATTTTCAGCTTAGAGAAAGATATAATTAAATCAAAATTGATTTGACTTGGAAATATGTGAAAAATTTTATTAATATATATATATTTTCAGTAAGACTCGGGATATTCTATTTTTAAAATTTAACAAAAATTTTCAAAAAGTAACAGTCCCGATGATCCGATTTATCTTAAGATACATTATATATCACAGATGAATATTCAGATGAAAAAATTTGTAATAATCAAATATAATATAGGATATTATAATTCCATTATAGATTTATTGATGGAGTTAATTTTTTAACAATATAATGTCAAAAGAACAGGTGCTGCAGTTTATCTAATAATCAGAGTAGGGACATTCACACTCATATTTTGCAATCTCGAAAATCACGATTATCTGCATTTATTAACGATTGTCAATGAATGAAAATAATATGTCATTTATTTAAATCTATCGACGATGGTAGTTTATATGATTATTACATCTACGTGGCGCTAAAAATTTTATATACTTTATCAATATTTTACAGTAATATTCGATTATTTAATTTATATGAGAACACATGAAAGAAGCCTGTAATTAATTCTTTTGAAACAATCAATTAGATTTACTATAATTAATGTTATATCTCGTATTTTTTGTTTCAGAAACACTGTTAACATAAGGCATTTTCAACAAGGAGTTGACATTACTTAGACGAGTACCCCGATTGCATCGAAGAAAACGCAAACACGAGAGAAACGAATAAAGATAAAGAAGTTGAGATTAAAGAAGAAGAAAAAGCTAGTGTCTGACTTTTAAAGCATTTGAAAATGGTTTATGAATAAGTTTTCAATTATTCGCCATTGAGAAAATTAAAAATGAGCGTTCCAGTATGAAATATCGCTTGCGCGTATATTGGCTTATAGAGTTCCAAATTTTATACTCGAAACTGAAAAAAAATTAATAATATTAAGCCGAATAATATAACGATCGACTATAATTCTTTACCAAAGGATTTTATAAAATATTAACCCGATACACTTTCCAATGCTAATGCTTTTCCGATAAAAAAAAAGCATCTCCTACATTGCCCAAACTAACAAATAACAACTAAGCTTTACACGTACGAAAGCAGAATATCGCAATTTTCCTAAGCCGTTTCATTATTTTGCAGCGTGAACATAAAATTGCCAACTGGAAGAAAACTGCCACAGGTATTACATTGTAAAAAGGCAAAACAATCAGTCCACTTAAGAATCAAGTGTTTGTCGGTGCATCGTCGTTAAGCGGTCTTTGAGCGCGATAAGTCTTGCGCGTATTTTGAGGTTAGGGCAGCTGGAGGAGACGTTAAGCTACTTATTTAGAGACGTGCAAAGAACGTTCGGACGATCACTTTGGTATGTTATCGTATGCGGAGGGTCGAGTTGGCGAGTGTGTTTAGGCAAGTGACTTTTTCAAATTTAAGTAGTGAGGGCGCGTTGACGTAAGCGAGGGGCAAACGAATTATACAAGGACTAATCTATGAGAGAAAAGTGAAGGTTGGTGACATTGGATGGAAGTTTGCTTTACAAAGTTTAAGGTATATTATATACATTTACGTTGAATGCCATTAATATAAATATTAATTATATACTTTAAATTGAATTGCGAATCAAGCAAGAATAAGGTATTAAAAAAAAAAAAAAAAAAAAAAAAAAAAAAAAATACATGGAAATTATATTAAACGCCACTCTCATTTCTATTGGATGCGATTTGTTGATAATAATAAAATTTTGAATATTACCTGTTGAATAGGCTATTGTAGCAAATAATTTCATTACACTTATTAACGTGAAATAATATTTTATTTTTTATTTAAATAGAGTATTTAGTCGCTAGCTAAATAACAATAACAACAGCAAATTTTTTATACTTATCTCTTGCTAGCACTCTATAACAATAGAATGTTTATTATCTTTATTTATTAATTACTTATGGCGTAATCTACTATACAATGATTTATTGGAGCCGATATATGAAAATATTTTATACCAATTCCACGAAGACACATATTTTTAAATGTTCTTTTGTAAAAACATGGTCGATCAAAAATTACGTCAAATATCAAAATCTTTAGCGCAGCAGCACGTCTTTTCTTAACTTTTTTCTTATAATTCTAATTCCTTAACTAATTCGTGTAATAATTTCATTTAAGAAAAGTTTGCTTAATTTAGAAAATGTTTTCCAAAATTTATTAAATTCCATTCTTCGTGTCTGTTCTGTTTCTTTAAAATTCAATAATTTAATTTGTCCTCGTAAAAGCAAAAGAAAATTAATGATTAAATGTCCATAAATTTGAGATTTCATGATATTTTATATTACTTACGGCATATTTCTATCAATGCACTTTTATTATTGCAATAAAGGTACTGCAACATATATATTATGATTTTTCTTCTATAGTAAATTATCATTATGCAAATAACTATTTTCTGCGACTTATGATGTATCAGGAATTTTATTATTTATTATTATTATATTATTTATACAATGAGAATTTATTTCGTAAGTATAATTTATCTCATACACTCATACACTACTATTTCCCATCTAATTTCAGAGAAAGTGAGTGCGTGAGGGGCAGGGGGGAGGGGATGGAAATTTGATTCTAACGTATAATCGTTATAGTCTAGGAAAATTGGCGAAATCTATTATTATGCAAAGTGTGGGCACAATCGTCAAATAATCCTTCCCCCGAATCCCCGCAGATCCTCATTGCTCATCCGTGGAAGGCGCAGCGCTGACGGGCCGCAGGATCGGTGCCCCGAATCGGCTCCTGAACAGCCAGCCAGAATCTCTAATTGGAAAGCGCCGAGTAAGGATTCCTCGTTAAATGCGAGATCGTCGCTCCGCATTGGGGCGAAGATGATATTGAGACGACGGCCGCACTGATTGAAAGGGGGAGAGAATCAAGGCTCGCGTGAGCGTGAGCGAGACACCCGGGTGGCAGGAAAGGCCGTGGCCGGGGTGAAGAGGACAAGAGGGAGAGATGCCGGAATCGAGAGCGGGAATGGCGCGCCGTCTATTGCGGCTGGGCTCCCTGTTCCTGTTCGCCCTGGCGCCGCTGCTCGTGCACTCCCAACTCACGTGGACACCCATCTACGTCGGCAACAAAAGTAAGTACAACCCGCACTTCCCTTCTTTATTGCGCCGCGATGATTATTCGCTGCCACGTGATTATTTTCTATACGACCGCTCTCCTCTCCCTTTATTTTTTC